GGGGTGGTGCAGTATTTGATTTTAAGTTGTGGAAGCAGACAGCTAGGAAGAAGAAGGGGAGAGTGTACAACCTAGGAGCAAAGGGGATAGCATTTGAGGTTGAGCGCCCTTGCGCAGCTGTTGGCCCTAGCTCATTACAGACTTAGCATGAGGAGCTTGCCAAACGGATCATGATGATGAATGAAGAGCTTAAACATGTGTGTGTGGTCAGCATATGGTTCCAGATAGTCTAGCAAGCTTTACAAAAAGCTTTGATCGCTGGGGCAAGCACCATATGAGTGTTGTCTAGGAGGATGAGGCAGAGAAGCAGTATAAGGATGATGAGCAAGATTATAATTTTTATTATGTGTTTGTTGATGTTCTCTAGGTGATGATTATGTGTTTTTTTCCATTTCCGTTTAATCAAACTTTCAACTTTTTTAGTTGTGAAGTTTGAGCAATTTGATCTGTTTATTTTTAATTTAATTTGGTATTATTATTTAGATATGTTCAAGCTTTCTTTTATCAATTATGATGATAGATAAATGTCCTATTATGTTGTTTGTGTTAGCTGTTGGCTCTAGCTCATTATAGACTCAGCATGAGGAGCTTGCCAAACAGATCATGATGATGAATGAAGAGTTTAAACATGTGTGTGAGGTCAGCATATGGTTCCAGATAGTCTAGCAAGCCTTACAAAAAGTTTTGATCGCTGGGGCAAGCACCATATGAGTGTTGTCTAGGAGGATGAGGCAGAGAAGCAGTATAAGGATGATGAGCAAGATTATAATTTTTATTATGTGTTTGTTGATGTTCTCTAGGTGATGATTATGTGTTTTTTTCCATTTCCGTTTAATCAAACTTTCAACTTTTTTAGTTGTGAAGTTTGAGCAATTTGATCTGTTTATTTTTAATTTAATTTGGTATTATTATTTAGATATGTTCAAGCTTTCTTTTATCAATTATGATGATAGATAAATGTCCTATTATGTTGTTTGTGTTTCTTATGTGCAGTTGTATGAAAAGTTAATCATTCTGCTGTATTTTTTGTTTCTTACAGGTTTGCATCGGAATGTTTCGACGCTAATAACTACAATAAAAAGTCTGATACTTGACGTCGCTAATCCGACACTTTAGCATCAAATCTTATCGACATTACTTAGCATCCAACTTGACTCGAATGATATTTTTTTTTCGTGTTGTTGGGTTCAACTTATGGCAATGCTCAATTCCATTATAATTTTTCTAAACGTATTGGGCGGTCTGCGAAATGACAATCATTGTCATAATTTTAATTATTTTTATAGTCTGAATATTGATTGAAGTGAAATTATTAGAATACCAAAGCTTCAAATATACTCAAATTGCAAAGGCTTAATTGTGCTTCAAGAGTAATAAGTTGAATTAAATCCTAAATCTCACGAATATCTTGGCATAAAGTAGGTCGGGTCGGCCGCATCCATTATTAACAATAGTATGTGCACTCAGCAAGATATTAGTGGCATAAAGTAAGTTGGGACCGCTACATTCATCTATTAATTAATGGCCTAACATCTTCAATCATTCTAAAAAAATTTTATTTTGCAAATCTTTTTTGATATGATAGACTAAGCTTATCAAAATGTTATGTTTTATCAAAAATTTACTAAAATTAAAAGTTAGATGATCGAACCAGAGCCTAATTTTGAACAATGTTTAGTTTAAAAACTATTTCAGATGATGAAAATGGGTTAGGGTTGGGAAAAAATATTACGTACGGACGAGATAAGTGTGTATAGATGCTGGTTTGATCGTATTATGATGATATTATGATGATATTCACCATTATACTGGCGAAATACTAACAATCTATGAATGTGAATTATGCACGTAATATTCGCTCTAGAGTTTGATGCCTAAAATTAGAATAATATTTCTGATAAGCCATCAAACAATCTTTTCAATTAAATATAAATTTTAATGCACATTTTTATTATGCTATTTCATATAATTTAACCAAATACAAAAAGCAATATATATAATATTTTTATTGAAAAATTTAAATGATAAAATTTTTTTTTTAACATGCCTACCATTTATCGTCCGACAAACTTATATCTTATCATTTATCGCCCGACAAAATTATGTCATCCAATAAGATATAAAACAATTTCTAAAGCATCTAAGCCAACTCCTTAATAAAGGGCCATTGGGCTTACTTTTTATTTTTATTTTATTTTATTTTTATATTTATTTAAATTAAAATATATTTGATATATTATAACCTATTTAATTAAATATTTTTAAAATGATCTAATATAATTTTTAAATTAATGTATTTTATTGCAGGTACATCAAAAGCTTAACTGTTTCACATAATTAAAAACTAACTAATTTTTTTGAGAAATTTCCATGCATACCACACAATTCTTACATATTTACATACCTAACACTTAAATTTTTATATTTATACTTATAAAACCTCTGGTTATAAATTTATACATGTATTTTACTTTTACAAAATAAGTAATAGTAATATTTTTGATATAATATTAAGAATGTGAGTGCTATGCATGTAAATAAGAAAAGTTATGTGTAATTACAAAAGAATTGTGTCGGGCTCACCTAAATGCCTTTTTTTTTCTTTTATTCATGTCAACTAATTCAACTATTTTAGGATAAGGTTGGATATATAATAAGGTTGCGTATATAATAATATAAAGTCCTTTCATACAAAAATTTTTCTGTGCGTACTCCTGACGTAGCTCTACGTGTGACGCAGGTTATTCCTGAGTTATTTTCAAATTATTTCTGGGTTATTTTCAATAATCTCTAAATAACCCAGAAATAACCCACCCGCGGTCTTTATTCTTGGATTATTTCTGGGTTATTTCGGGATTATTGAAAATAACTCAGAAATAACCTGAAAATAACACAGGAATAACCTGCACCGCACGTAGAGGTACGTCAGGTGTCCGGACAGAAGTGTCTGGACAGAAAATGCGCCCCATTCGTAATGAAATAATGAATGGAATTTTTCTAGGTATTCGATCTATTAATATATTATTTCTATAAAGACGATGGTGCCTCTAGAATTTGATACTTTTATTTTGAAGTTGGGTAAATAAGAATCTCTTTATAAGTGGGAATTTGCATAAGGGAATGGTTTACTTTCACCAACATCGCATCAAAGCTTTCTTTATGTCCTATTCTTTAAGCACATGTGATTAAACAATAATAATAAATAGGGGTATTTAGATTAATGCCACACAATTCTAGTGAATTTATACAATTAGGCCATTCAAATCTTTCATATCACATTAAAAAAAATATCACTATAACTAACTTCTAAAAGTTAAATACACTTTTTCCATTCATAAATAAAGTTGATAAAAATGTAACCATCAAGGTTTAGGTGTTAGACATATAAATTCATAAGAAGAGTGTGGCATGCATATGAATCTCCTTAATAAATAGCAATAATAACAATTGAACTACGTGGTACATAGATAGACTCATATGAACTAGATTTTAAAAGCAATGATTGATTCTTATTTATGGTAAATGGTGGCGTTCTACGTTCAAAAGTAGTTTTAATAAGGATTAGATGGTATGTTATAGTTTATTTTTTTTGGGAATTTTGAAGATCACACCTAGTTCTTCATCAATAAAATATAAGATACAAGACATCATAAAAGTGAGTAAACTAAATACACCCCAATTAGGATATAACCAAAGAAGAAAAATAAAACATAAAGAAAGAGCTTAGATGTTCTGTCAAGCAGTACAGGAGAAGGTACTCCAAAG